CTTTCTATCCATGCTGTGTTCTACATAATATAGTGTTAGCATTTATCATATAATATTGCAGTTATTTATTTACATCTCTGTTTACTGGAATTTGAGCTTCTTGATAGAGATAATATCTCAATTATTTTTGTATCTTCAGAATTTAGCAGTACCTGGCATGAGATTGAGGTCCAATATATGGTTTCAATTTATTTGTTGCCTGATATTTATACAGCATACCGTATTTAGCTTTTAATGGAGAAATAGATACAAAGCTGACAGACCTGTGTACATGAGCATCTTTCCATGTTATTAATCATTCTGCATTTTAATGGCTGCTAAATATTGCATTATATGGATATATCATAGTTTAGTTAATAGCCCGTTGTTAGATATTAGTTAATATTTCAAACTTTTTGCTGTTTTAAATCATGCTGCAGTAAAAACCTAGCTGTAGGTAAATTTTAAGTTGTATATCCATGATTACTGTATATAAATAAAATTCTTAGAAGTGAAAATGCTAAATCAGTAGTAATGTCTGTTTTAAAAAGCTTTTGATATATCCTTCCAGGTAGGTTGTACTAATTTATATTTTCACCAGAAATTCATTATGGTGGACCAAATTTCTGTACTCTTTCTGGTACCATTTCTGAAAATCACTACCACCACCACCAAGACCACCACCATCATCATCGTGCATCGTGATCATTCCTTGTCAAAATTTATAGGTGAAAATAATATTTTCGTGGTTTAATTTGCATTCCTCTGGTTACTAGTGAGGCCGAGTATTTTGAAAATGTTTATTAAAAATTTATAGGTCATTTTATAAGCTGCCCATTTATATCATTAACCATTTTACTGTCAGGATCATTATTATTATTATTTTATACTTTAAGTTCTAGTTACACATGCAGAATATGCAGGTGTGTTACATAGGTATACATATGCCATGGTGGTTTGCTGCACCCATGACCCCGTCATCTACATTAGGTATTTCTCCTAATGCTATTCCTCCCCTAGCCCCTCCACCCTTCAACAGGCCCCAGTGTGTGATGTTTCCCTCCCTGTGTCCATGTGTTCTCATTGTTCAACTCCCACTTATAAGTGAGAACATCCGGTGTTTGGTTTTCTGTTCCTGTGTTAGTTTCCTGAGAATGGTGGTTTTCAGCTTCATCCTTGTCCCTGGAAAGGACATGAGCTCATCTTTTTTTATGACTGCATAGTATTCCATGGTGTATATGTGCCACATTTTCTTTATCCAGTCTATCATTGATGGGCATTTGGGTTGGTTCCAAGTCTTTGCTATTGTGAATAGTGCCACAATAAACATATGTGTGTATGTGTCTTTATAGTAGAATGATTTATAATCCTTTGGTTATATACCCACTAATGCGATTGCTAGGTCAAATGATATTTCTGGTTCTAGATCCTTGAGGAATCGCCACACCGTCTTTCACAAAAGTTGAACTAATTTACACTCCTACCAATAGTGTAAAAGTGTTCCTGTTTCTCCACATCCTCTCCAACAGCTGTTGTTTCCTGACTTTTTAATGATCGCCATTCTAACTGGCATGAGATGGTATCTTATTGTGGTTTTTTTCTCTCACTGCCTCAATTTTTTTCTAGGACAAATGAGAGATACGCTATGTAGCATTGTTCATGATAGTACATTGTGTTCTTTGACAGTGAATTTAATCTTATCTAATAATCTTTATATGTATAACAAAATTTTTTTAAGCATTAATTATATAGTTTCTAGAAATCTGTGTTTGGGTTTAATGACTAAATCTCTTTTCATAATCTTTTTGAATCTTCACCTAAAGTGTTTGCAAAAGGCTTAGTTGAAGAAAACATCTGTCTCCAAAACAGAATGAGACTGCCTGGAAGCAGTTTCACCAAAATCTTTGAAAATAATAAGTAATTGTTTAAAAAACTTTTTTAATACACAAACATACCACGTTAGCCAATAGCCATTTAGTTAGGCCTATAAAGTTGTACAGACATCAAACAATCCAGTATTAGAACACTTTTGTTACCGCCAAAATTTTCTCTTGGCCATTTGCAGTTATTCCTCATTTCTGTCCCAAACCGCATGCAACCACTAATCTACTTTCTGTCTTTATAGATTTGTCCTTTCTGGAGAGTTTGTATAGATTGAATCATATGATATGTCGCCTTTTGTGTCTGGTTTCTTTCATTTAGCATAGTATTTTCAAGGTTCATCTATGTTGTAACATATATCAGTACTTTATTCCTTTTTATTGCTGTGTACCATTTCATTGTACAGCCATACCATATTTTGTTTATCCCTTCATCAGTTGATGAACATTGTTTGTTTTTTGTTTTTGTTTTTGTTTTTTGATACGGAGTTTCACTCTTGTTGCCCAGGCTGGAGTGCAGTGGCACAACCTCGGCTCACTGTAACCTCTACCTCCCAGGTTCAAGTGATTCTCCTGCCTCAGTCTCCTGAGCAGCTGAGATTATAGGTGCCTGCCACCACACCCCACTAATTTTTGTATTTTTAGTAGATACAGGATTTCACAATGTTGGCCAGGATGGTCTTGAATTCCTGAGGTCAGGTGATTCTCTTGCTTCAGCCTCCCAAAGTGCTGGGATTACACGCATGAGCCATTGTGTCCAGCCTCTTGTTTTTTAAAATATAGTTTTAGCACTTATATTTAGGTTGACAATCCATCTTGAGTTCATTTTTGTATATAGTTAGAGGTGGGGGTTTGATTTCATTTGGATGTAGATATCCAGTTGTCCCAGAACCATTTGTTGAAAAAGATTATGATTTTATCATTGAATTGCCTTGGTACCTTATAAAACTTTATTTCTGGACTTTGCTTCTGTTTCATTGATCTCTATGGCTATTATATGCCAATATCATGCTGTCTTGATTACTTAAGTTTTAAAATTGGATAGTGTTAAGTCCTACAGTTTGTTCTTATTTTTCAAGATTATTTTTTTCTGGATTCTTTGCCTCTCCATATACATTTAAAGTAAGCTTGTCTATTTCTATAAAAAGAGCCTGCTAGAATTTTCATAGCGATTACATTGAATCTCTACATCAATTTGTGGAGAATTGCCATCTTAACAATAGTGAGTCTTTTAATCCATGAACATGGAATATATTTTCAGTTATTTAGATATTCATTTGTTTTTTTTAGCAATGTTTTTTGTTGTCAGTGTACAGGTCTTATACATCATTTGTTAAGTTTATTCCTAAGTTTTATAATTCTTTTTGATACTGTTTTGAGTGAGATAGTTTTCTTATTTTCATATTGTTCAGTACAATTATTTTTTAATGTCAAATGTGTATAGCATATTTAATATGCTGGCAGGAACCAGTCAGTCACTGATGCTTGTCATGGGACCAAAATTCAGGACATTAAGTACCTTTGTGCAGTTTTTGCCCTTAAAGAATGAAAGTCCTAAAAAATTTAAAGTATGTTAATACAGAAATAGTCCTAGAAATTCAATTAAAAGACATGATAAAACGTTTATAGTAAGGCTGTCTTAATAATGCTGACTTGTATTTCTTGACAGTTTATTGATTTTTAAAATTGTTATAAATGTGCCCTTTTGCATTTAATATGTATCAATCAGCAAATTACTAGAATGTTCTTATGTTGACACCTCTGATCTCAACTTAGTGGTTTGTTGTAGTGCTCATCTGTGCTTCTGTCATATTAAAAACTGTTATTTAGGGGAAAAAATTGTACCCTGCAGTTAGTTATTACAACAAAAAGGAGATATATTTTGCCAGGCTCAACATATACTGTTTTTCTGGCCTTTTATAGACAGCCAGCACTATCCTTAAAGTGTGATCTTGCAGAATGTCTTTTTAAGACCGAATGACATATTATACTTAAAACTGGATAACATTAGGGTTTTTCTAAATGGCTGAAGAAAGTTAATGTATATTACAGCTGGCCTTTGAACAATGGAGGGTTTAGGGGTGCTAATCCCCACAGAGTAAAAAAACAAATATAACTTTTGACTCCCCAAAACTTAATCACTAATAGCCTACTGTCAATGGAAGCCTTACCACTAACATAGTCTATTAACATATATTTTGTATATTATATGTATTATTATATACTACATTCTTATAATAAGTAAGTTAGAGAAAAGAAAATATTATTAAGAAAGTCATAAGGAAGAGGAAAAACCATTTACCATTTATTAAGTGGAATTAGATCATCATAAAGATGTTCATCCTCATTGTCTTCATGTTTAAAAGGCTGAGGAGGAAGAGGAAAGGGTGATCTTGTCTCAAGTGTGGCAGAAGTAGAAGAAAATTCATGTATAGTGGGCCTGTGCAGTTCAAAACTCTGTTGTCCAAGAGTCAACTGTATATTGTTTAAAATTTTTAATATTTCTCTTGTACATTTTTTTCTTCTTGGGCACCAGTTATGGCTTATTCACTAGTAACTGCTAATGGACACTAAAACAAATGACCAAGGATATTTGTCCATGTTAGAAAAACTCTGAGTATCATGCTTACTTTAACAGTTTAGTTTTACTAACAGAAAGTTACTGTTTCGCATGGTAAAATTAATGGCATTTTGTGATACTCCCCCTGAGAAAATTTAAGAACCACCAAGTTAAATAAATCATTATTAGAAAGTAACAGAAATGTAAATATACTCAGTGCACTCATTTGCTTATAGGTAGTTAAGACCCACCAAAACCTGTACTCTCAATTTAATAACTACCCTATATGTCACTTTGAGGGTGTAATGAGTAAAAAATAGTTAACACATCACTCTAATAAATGTCAACTAGACAGTTATTTGCCTGAAAGCTTGGGAGAGCAGAAAAAAACAGTCTTGTCAATTGTTTTCAGTTTCCAAACAGATAGATGAGAGTTTGTTTCTTATGTGCTTCCTAAAACTTAAAGCTATTGAAATTGATATGTAACGTTTTATTAATCGTATGTTGAAAGGAATATGTAAGTTATGTTCATGGGATATTTTGTCTTTAGATGAATGATTGTGTGACTTTTTCTCCTATAGGCATCCTGCGAAGGAAGGTAGAAGAGGTAACACGGGTTTTTGAGGATTATCGTCATAAGGCCCATGCGTACAATGTCAACACTGCTTTTTATTGAATGACCATATCTTCAGCATGTCTTTTTAATATTTCATCTTGATCATAATGAATTGTACATGCTTTTTTCATTTAAATATTATACTGTTGATTATTATACCTTAGTTTTGTTTTTAGTGTTAGAAAATGAAAATTATACTAGTGTCTGTCCAGACAGCAACCTATTAGATGTTGACCCTGTATGTGTAATTTATGTCTTACTCTCCTAGGTTCTACATTCTGGCATCAGCACAAATCATCCTTCTCACTCCAATTGAATCATAGGGTGATGTTTGCCAAAAGTACATGCCAACCTGTATAGTGCTAGATACTGTAAAGTCTCTTCTCCTCAAAGGAACCTACTGTCTAGTTTGAGATATAATTAATGCTTGTCTGTATAGAAACAATGTAGATAATATAAAGAAGTACAGTATGAATTAAAGAGAGTATGTTATAGAGATTCAGAGCAGGGAGGAAAAGTTAAGAGTAGGTTATTGTTAAAAGGTTAAGGAAAGGTCAGTTTTAGGGAATTCAGTTATTTTTAATGTATGGATATACTGATATTTTATTTGGTTTTAGCATATGATTTATAGTTGTTGATTTCTGTGTATTTGTTTCCTTTTGTTTTTCTTTTTTTAAGACTAAGGCTCATTATTAGGTTTGAAACAGTCTGGTCTCCTGTATTTCATGTTTCACCTAAGTCATAAATAAAGGTAATGTTCTAAAATAGTAAACATGTAATACTGAAATTAATTATTAAAAGTTTTTAAGTGAATAGAGCTCAGTTACCTATAATTTATTGAGCTAAATTTTCTGCTGTACTGACTGCATGTGACCATCCTGATGGGTACCTATTACACAAAGAAATATTTTTGAAATGAATATTAGCCATGATTAGTCTTATGAGCAGACTAATGCCAAAATTCACATGGACTCTTTTTTTTCTACCCAAACTTTTCCAAGCAGAAGCCCCTTATCCAGTAAGTTTTTATAACCACTTAGAATTATAGAATGTGAAAATAATCCAGCACTCATATAATCTTGTGAATGATTTCTGTAGATAAACACAACTTTTAAGTATAATCTTTAGTGATCTCTAATTTTTTAGTTCAGTATTATTACTCTTATACCCTAGGTAATAGTAATAATAAAGACATTTTCCCCATTGCTTCTGGAGATTCAACTCTTATAAAGTAGCCTATGTATAAGTTCTACATTCAGTAATGAGAATATAGTATATCAGAGGAAACACTGACTCTAGTCTTGTTCCTACCTAATTAACTGGACAAATAATTTCATCTCGGGCATTACCTTTTCCATGAATGAAAAAGGTAGATCATATTAGGGTTTGCCAAACTGTCTCGTGAGAAGTAACTGGTTTTCATTTCTCTGAAGTTTTGAGATGCCTGTATGTGTTTTCACTGTGAATAGAGTGCTTTCTCTGTATTTCCTAAGTAAAATAAAGAAAAAGGAGACTACAGTATTGCTTATACTATCTTACTGTTACATTATCTTCAGTGAGAGTTCTAGTGTTTTTCCCAGTACATAGAAGATGCCAGAGGATGGCAAGTGGCTTCTAGATCAATCTAGTAATGCTATTAAGACTTATAGGGTGATCACAGTGTACTGTCTGGAATTGCACATTGGACTAAATCATCTCTAAGATTATTTCTGACTCTGTTTCTAATGTGTACAGAGATGACATTGTTGAACAAATATTTTTTGTTTGTTTTTTTGAGACAGGGTCTTGCTGTGTCACCTAAGCTAGAGTGCAGTGGGGTGATCTCAGCTCACTGCAACCCCTGCCTTCTGGGCTGAAGCGATTCTCCCACCTCAGCTTCCCAAGTAGCTGGGACTGCAGGTGGACACCACCACATCTTGCTAATTTTTGAGTTGTTTGTAGAGACAGGGTTTTGCCATGTTGCCCAGGTTGGTCTTGAACTCCTGGGCTCAAAGGACTGACACGCCTTGGCCTCCCAAAGTGCCAGGATCACAGATGTGAGCCACCGTGCCCAGCCACATTGAACAACTCTTAATTAAAAGGTCAGAAATGCAGAAATAACCTATTTTTGACAGTAATGTTAAAGCACCATTTATGTTAGCCACTGGAGTCTTCAGCCCCTCATAACCATTGTTAACCAGCTAACATATTAGCGGAATAAGTCTTAAATGTAAAGTGTTGACACTCTCCCAGTACATACCCATTTTTTATCCTTTGAAAAGATAGTATATTTATTTTCTATAACAGCATTTATGCTATTTTATTTGGGAAATTTGAAAGACATGCACAGTTGTTTACTCTTAATATTAGATGGCAAGTAGATTCAAGAGAAGATTTGGAAAGGTTACTGCTTCATAATGTAGTCTTCAGAAGCATGCCACAAAGCACCTAAAAAAGGCAAACCCAGAAAACGTGTCTCTGTTAAGAAGGAGCTTCTGGATTAAACTAATCTTGTTAAATTGTCAGAAAGACAAAAGAGGCATATTTTTCAGTTTGTCATAAATTCTTCTGGGGGTAACATTGTGAAATTACCTTAAGGTAAGATCTCTGTGCCCATGTAATATAACATCTAGAGGTCTCCAAGGCTTTGTATACACTGTCTGATATCCTTAACACTGTCTATTTTTTAAGCTGGGGAGAAGGATGTTGTGGAAAACAGAATAGCTATTATTACACAGTTAACAAGTTTGGCAGAGTTGGAAATGGCCTTGTTTCCTTTTTAGTGTAATTTTCTGAATGTTTGTCTTTTTGTACCTGTCACTTACACTGGTTACAGTTATACACAGATATGTAGAGTACTTCTTATGACTTTGCTTTCCAGTTGCAACTCCACAGCTATGTGAGTATGTATTTTATCTATTCATTCTCCACTCATCCCACCTAGTGGATTTATAATGTGTGTGTATCATTTCAATATCAATAGGCTATATGTTTTAATAGAAGTTGTATACAAGTTTGGTGTGATAGTTTGTATAATATTTGCTCCACCCTTTGCCACCGTCCCAGGGGATAAGCACACTAGCAACCTTGGTGTAATTTTTTTCATTTCCTTGTCAATTTGCTTACCAATGTGTCAGTTTGGACAGGTTGGTTGAGCCACAAAATTCAGGTCTACCACTGTATAGGATTTACCTGATGCAAGCGATGATGTGACCCCCATTTTGTTTATACTTATAATATATTCAGTTCAGGTTCTGTGCCAAAGCTACAATGTGGTACATGTTATGCCTGCAGTCATTCACCTACATGCTTCAAGAGCACAGTTATTTGCATATGACAGGTCTTAGATAACTCACCATGATACTTTCAATCTGATCGAAGTTCTCAGGACAGGAAATTCTACAATGTTTTTCAGTAGCTGGTTTTTGGCCTTCCTTCTAACTTGAGCATGGCAATACAAAGCAGTTTGAAAAAGTCTAAATCTACTGATTAACATTGGAATATTTACTTATAGATTACCACCCAATCATGGAATAACTTTAAAACCATACCTTTGTATGTGCTTGACAGTCACTCTATTTTTTTTTTTTTTTTTTTTTTTTTTTTTTTTTTTTTGAGACAGTTTTGCTCTTGTTACCCAGGCTGGAGTGCAATGGTGCGATCTCGGCTCACCGCAACCTCCGCTTCCTGGATTCAAGCAATTCTCCTGCCTCAGCCTCCTGAGTAGCTGGGAGTACAGGCACGCGCCAGTATGCCCAACTAATTTTTGTATTTTTAGTAGAGATAGGGTTTCACCATGTTGACCAGGATGGTCTTGATCTCTTGACTTCATGATCCACCCGCCTTAGCCTCCCAAAGTGCTGGGATTATAGGCGTGAGCCACCGTGCCCAGCCCACTCTTTAGAGGTATCCCCATTTTACAGATGAGAAAACTGGCCGAGGCCAGTTAAAGAAATTTACTGAAACCCACACAGTCCAGTAAGTTGTCAGAGCAAAAATTCAAGTCCAGATTGCCTCTAAAACCCTGTTGTGCAATACTGTCAACTGAGAGGTGAGATTCAAATCTAAGTAGTGGGCCCCTTGCCCCCATTACCTACAATCTTTTCTTTTTTTTTTTTTAATTAAAAAAGTATTGACTAGGTAATATAGTCATGGGTTCAAAGTTCAAAGGGCACAAGAAGATACAGTGAATATTTTTTTTTCTGCACTTGTCCCTCAGCCATCCAGTTCCCCTACCTGGAAGTATTCACTGATCATTTGTCTGTAAGTTCTCTCAAAGATATTTTGTGCATATACAAGCAAACACATATATGTAAGTTTTTAAGTGAATAGAGCTCCCATTTTTATGCAAATGAAGGCATAGTATACACATCATTCTATACCTTGCTATTACACTAACTATATTTTGGAGATTGTTCAGTAGCAGTCTATAGAGAACTTTGTCATTTTTGTAACTGCTACATAGTTTTTCATGGAATGATGCATTTTCATAGTATGTTCATGGATATTTTCATTTCCATTATTATAAAGAATATTGCAAGGAATGATAGGTTAGAGGATATATAGTACTGAGGATTCTATTCATAACTGTTGAATCGCTGCTTTAAAGGGAATATACGTGTATGATTTTAGTAGTATCCTCATTTGCCCCCCATAGATGTACCAATTTATATTCCTACCACCAGTGTATTGAGAGCACCTATTTCCCCACAATCTCAATAAAACAAGTGTGTTATCAAACTTTTGGATCTTAATCTGTTAGGTGAAAAATGATACTGTAGTGTACTTTTAAAAATAAACTTTAATTTTTAGAACAATTTTAGTTACAGAAAGGTTGCATAGTACAAAGTCCCACATACCTACAACTCCGTTTCCCTTGCATAACTCTGATACATTTGTCACAGCTAATGAACCTGTTACTAACTAAAGAGGATAGTTTGTTCACATTTCCTTAGTTTTTACCTCATGTCTTTTTTTCTGTTCCAGGATCCCATCCAAGATACTGCATTACTTTAGTCATCATGACTCCTTTGATTCCTTTTGGCTATGACAGATTCTCTTATTTTTGATGACCTTGCTAGTTTTAAGGAGTACTGGTAGTCAGTGCACTTTAAAATTTGTGAAATTGGACATCTTTTTATACACTTAAAGACATTGGCATTTCCATTTCTGGGAACTAAGAGCCCATGCTTTTAACCACTATACTATACCTCTTTCTTGATTCACCATAATTATCAATAAAACATTTTTGGGTCTGAATACACACAGACTTCTGATTCAGAGTAGAAAAAACTCCCAAATCTCTGTTATAGATAGAGGAGAACCACTAGTACAGGTGATATATGGTCAGACTCATGTCTGATGACTCTGGCTACAACGTGAAGAATGAAGCAGAGGCTCAACTGGAAATGGTAGGTAGGCTGGATAAATCCTTGAAAGAAAAGCAAAGCAGTGTTGATGAGAAGTTTAAGGGAAATACAGAAGATCCAGGAATTAGTGGTAATGGATGAGAGAATCAAGATGTCAAAGGTGACTCCGTTTTATGAGCTGGATATTTTGGGTCTTCTCTTGAACCTAGATGAGAAATTCAAGATAAATTTTTGGACAATGTTCAGCACACCTGTCACTCAAGATCTACTTTCTCTTTCTGTTGCTATAGCTCTTTTGCTACTACAATTCCCAGAGCCCCATGCTTCCTCACAGTCCCCTTAGAGTCCGCCGCGCAGAGTTCTGGGAGTTGAGGTCCGCGGCCTATTGACCGAAGTTACAGATAGTGGCCTGTGGAAACATGAAGAGGTAAGGGCTTGTCTGAGGGGCAGGCGGCAAGGGGAGCTCTTG